TTGTAACATGGATGCTTCATCTCAGAGTTTGCGAAGTAAGATAGGGTTTATGGGTGTTCGGCGGTACTTACCTGAGAACCATAATTGGCAAAGAAGTAAGCTATTCAACGGTGAAATTGAGAATCGGTCCAAACCCGTGGAGTTATCGGGAGAACAAACACTGGAGCAAATTAATTTGGGAACGTACAAGCCGTATGAATAGCATCCAACCAACCAAAAAAGACAAAGGACTGAAAAGCCAACTCCAAATTGGACAAAAAGAAGCATTTTGTTTGACCTACCCTATTGGAAAACACTTAAGCTTCGACATAACCTTGATGTCATGCACATAGAGAAGAATATATGTGACAATCTGCTTGGGACACTATTGAGCATAGATGGCAAGAACAAGGACACAGAGAAAGGACGTTTGGATCTAGAGGATATGCGAATACGAAAGGAGTTACACTTGATAAGGCATGCGAATGGCTCTTTCGAGAAGCCTCCGACATTGTACACATTGTCCCCGGCAGAGAAACAAGGGTTTTCTAATTTCTTGAAATCGATTAAGTATCCTGATGGCTATCCGGCAAATGTATCCAATTGTGTCACCGCGAATGGTGGTAAGTTAGTTGGCCTCAAGAGTCATGACTGTCATGTCCTTCTACAACGAATTCTTTCCATTGGGATGCGAGGATACCTTCCTACCGAGATTGGACCACATTGTTTGAGTTGGGAACTTTTTTCAAACAGTTGTGCTCAAAGACATTGCGGGTGACTGATTTGGAGAAATTGCCAGAACAAATCGTACTTATACTTTGTAAGCTTGAGAAGATTTTTCCTCCTGCTTTTTTTGATGTCATGGTCCACTTAGCAATTCATTTGCCTTATGAGGCTATACTTGGAGGGCCCGTGCAATCTCGATGGATGTATCCTATTGAGAGATATAACTACGATGCGGGTGCTTTTTTCATGTAAATATAGTTCAATATGATCATACTATCGATCAGGCTGATGTTTACATGTAGGATGCTCGGACTTCTTAAAGGATTTGTGGGCAATAAAGCTCGGCCAGAAGGTTCTGTTGCGGAGGGCTACATATCAAAAGAGTGCACGACGTTTTGTTCAATGTATTTGGATGGAGTTGAAACGGTGTTTAACAGGGAAGAAATGAACTATGATGGGGGTGACAATGGCCCGGGGTTGGCGATTTTCACTCAAAATGTTCGTCCTTTTGGTCAACTCCCAAGGGCAATTGATGTGTCCGTAACTGACTGCGAATTGGCTCATTGGTTTGTCCTACACAGTAGTTTGAAAGTGGACGAATATCTAGAGTATGATTCCTCATCATATATGCAACATACATTTTGTACATGGTTTTTATTTTTTAAAGTCTTCATTATTCCAATTACTTATGAATTACATTGTATTAAGTAGGGAACACAAGCTCGTGTTGCAACAAACATATGGAAGTGATTGCAACATTGCAATGCAACAATGCAAAGAATTTCCTAAATGGTTCAAAGATCGCGTAAGCTAAAACTCGTTAGTGTATAGTTTGCAGATAATGTTACATTATTCTAAGTTTGAATTAACATGACATACTTTTTTGTGTAGATGAACCAATTATGAAATCAAAAGTCACCCGAAGTAACCAATGAGATGTCGTCATTAGCCAATGGACCTAATGCCTTAGTAAACACATATTCAGGATGCATTGCTAATGGCGTCCGATTCCATACTATCGACCGTGATAACTGTCGTAAATGTCAAAATAGTGGGTTGGAAGTGGAAGGCGACCACGAAGGCCAATTGATAAAGTTCGACGGCGACCTTTGTAAAGTATGGGAACTGACATATTTGTTTGGACATCGGGTTGTTTTGTTCCAATGTGAATGGTATAACACCGGTAGTAGTCAACCTTTGCGTGTCGAACCACATGTGACAACTGTTGATGTAAGAAGTTGATGGTATAAAGATGACTCGTTTGTGTTTCCAAGCCAAGTTCAACAAGTTTTTTATGTTCATGATACGAAGTTCAGGCTGAATTGGCAAGTCGTAGAAAAGTTTCAACATCGACGAATTTGGGATGTGCCAGAGCTGGATGTGCCAGTATTTGATGAAGTGTTGCAAGAAGATGAAACCACTACCGTTGTACCAACTGAGCCTATTGATGATGATGTTGTTTTGCGTCGAGATGACATTGAACCTGAAATTATTTCAATGGAAGTTTCTCAGTTAGCTGGTCTATTATATATGCATTGTTGGGAAATTGAATGCTGTGATGATTCTCCATTTTGGATTTCTGCTTCTCCATTTCTGCTTCTTTTTTTTTTGGAATTGAATGCTGTGATCAGGTTAGAAAGCTGATATTAAGCCTCTCTGAAATTTGTATCACTTGAAATCCATATTTGCTTTAATTGATCTGAGAGTTGGGGTTGTGTTCCCTTTAATTTGCCTTGTTCTTTCTCTCCTTGTGTTATCATTGTAATGTTCATGAAATTAGGAGAAAATGAAGTATCTTTATCTAGAAATGCTTGTACAATATTTTGCCAATTTGTTGGAATCTAAGGGGAAAGGGGATGAATTTAGATACTATCTATTGTAGGTGTCTAGCTGATAATGAAACCATGGAGCATGTTTCATTGACGTGCTCTTGTGACAATGTTATCCTTTAGTTACATTGAATTTGGACCATTGTTATCTCCTAATTTAATAATGTACAGAGGCATGAGCAGTTTCTAAGGTACATTTTTTTACATTATATATTTATAGTTTATTAAGCAAATTCATTGTTACAGTTCAGAGGTTCGATATCTCTCGGGTCACTTTGGTGGAACTCCAAACTTTAGGCTTGCACCACCGAAGGAATTAGTTGAAAAGGCAAGTATTGCTTTGTCTTCTTTACATTCTTGACCATACAAACAAAAAATTTGGTTCCTGCTTTAATACGGTTAGTTACAAACTTGACCATACATCTGATGGAAATAATGAGATCAAACCCACAACTCTTTGGTACTGTTACAGTAGGATTCTGATAAACGCATAACCTGTCCTATAGTATACAGTGATTGTCATTTTCATAAATTCAATACTTTAGTTATTTTTATTTTTTTTTATTTTTTTTTCTTCGTCTTCTCTTGCTACAACAGGATCTAGTGAAGATAGATGGACTTGCATGTGCAGTGCAGATGGTTTACCTGAAGTGGCAGCTGGCAATCTCAGCACAAACTGTTTTACATCTTGCAATTGCACTTTTGGTATTTTGCTTTAGTGTATAGAATTATCTTTAATTAACAGCTTTAGTGGTGTAGTATCCCTGAGTGATGAAAAAATGATGTGTTCTTTAGGTGAATCATGTGTCGTAATGGTAGTTTATAAGACATATCTAGCAGCTTGTATCCTCCTGCATAACTGAGTATGTTCCTGGTAATGGTTTAACAATCACTAGGCTATTCTGAAAGTTCTAAATCTTGTTCTTCTGTTTCTGATTATAAGGATCATTATGATGATGTTTCTTATGCTGTGTGTGCCAATATGCTTATTTTCTAAGTGCTGTGATATGTGATTCAAAGCATGCCCCTTGTAAATGGAAGTTCTAGTAGATTGTAGGATGCTTGACATTGCGAAAGAGGCATGAAGAATAATGAACCTCTAGTTATCATTATATATTCTTCTATTCTTGTGTTGGATTTAATAGGATGTCTAAGTTGTTTTCACTCGTTGAGGGTTTCTATGTCTAGCCAAAATGTATAGAAACCTAGGGAAAAAGGTGCTTACATCTGCTTTGTGTTGCACATGACAGAGTGAATCTGAAATTAGATGACATAATTAATACTACTTGGCAAAAAATTGTAGCATTGGATTATTAATCAAAACATTGTCCATACATATATATATTTTTGTAGTTGCACCGGTTGCATTATTCCAAATGGAGTCTGGTTCATTTATTTCTAGTTATTTTGTTTGACAATGTTAGTTTGTCCTATTTTGGTAAGGTACTAATACAATGTGCACAATGCCTATGAGGGTGTACTTTTTTACATCACATGGCTTCTAGCTTCTCATTGTCATTGTTTTGATCTTGATCAATTCTTGCATAAATAGAAAAGTGAACCAGATCGTCTCTTCAAAGGTGATTATTACTAGTTATCTGGAAGTGCTCAGTAGGATGGCAAGATGATGAATCAAGGGAATTAAGCTTGGCTAAAGGTGGGTCTGACTGGGGGCTTGATTGTGATTGCAGAAAAGATGCTCAAGCCAAGCTCAATGTTAATTTAGAGCTTGATAGTTTTTTATCAACCTCGAACGTTGCTTGATTAGATCATGCGTACAAAGTCTGTTATATGGAAAAATTACTACACAAGCTTGATATATTGGATCATTAGAATCCCACACCAGATCACTCAATAAAACAAACAAGCTATGTGCAATCCTAGTGTAGAACCCATTCGTATTTTGGGGTGAGATTGACCAACTCAATGGTAGGCTTGATTTGGTTGGTTTATGCCACTAGTTTTTAACTAGGTGTCTAGTTCTCGGGATATTGGTTTATATACATTCTAAATAACAAACCTACTGGAAATAAAGTTTGGATCTTGTTATTCACGAATTTCATACCTCCATATGCTTGTATTTTAGTATTATTAATCTTGGTATTTGTTGAATAAAGCACCTCAAATTGGTGTATAGGCTACGTGAATCGAAAGATTTACTTGGGTGCTATTTTAGTTTTATTGCTGTTTTATTGCTGGCTGCTTAATTCATTGGCTGCTTAATCTGCTTAATCATGGTTAATCTGCTTAATCTGTTGGCTGCTTAATCTGCTGGCTGTTGTATCCTATCTATGATTGGTTGTCAAAGAAATAATGACATTTAAACATCCAATGATGTTTGGACATTTATGTATGTGAGGTTTATGTAAATGTATGTAAATTTATGTATGTCAAAAATATGTAAATGTATGTAAATGATGTATGTGACGTTTATTACTCATGTAATTTTGTTATGTTTTTATGTAGGTACCATGGTTTCTGGAATCAAGACGGGACGGCGGAAGACAACAACAAGTGGTAACGTATTATCAACCTCCGAAGCATGTCCAGCAATTATTGGCACCCCGTTGATGTTCACTGATGAGACGCAGCCACCAGATGATACACAAACAGTGGTGGAGAAGACGCAGCAAGGTGGCGTGGGTAAGAGCATTGAACTTAGTTGTTTACAAATCTTTTTTTTCTTTTTTTTACGGTGCATAAGTCAGGTCTTTAAGGCAATGAAAACCCCATAAATAGAAAGAAAAACAAAGAAAATGTGAATACCTTGTTAATCTGATTGGTAAGGAATGCCTTTGTTCATCTGTAGGTTAATCTGTTTGTTAATCTTGTTAGTCAATGTGAATGCCTTAGTGACCACATATCCTGCCTATAGTGCCCAACCCTTCAACTCATTTTGTTGGAGATACACTGATTGGTAAAGAACGGATCAGTTGTGCATGGTTATGCAATTATGTCCAAGAAAGGAAAGAAAATCATATTTGTATCTCAAGTTTAACAGAGGCAACACATGTACTCTTTGGTTGGCCTATAGTTGGTTGAGGTGGTATTATAGCTTTTTTGTGCTTTACATATTTAAAATTAAAATATGTAAATTTTTTTGTACATAAAGTTCATTGATTTAGTTGAGTTCTAAACTTAAAAGAAACCAAGGGCTGTACACTTATAATTAATGGTATTAGTTTGATAGTCACTAATTATGTCTATGTTGTTACAATGTTTATATGTGTTTCTTTTTTTTTAAAATGAAGTAGCAACTCATACTAGTTGAGTTCATTAAATTTGTTTGTAATTTGTGACTTGCTTTCCCTTTTGTGGCAGGGCGAAAAAGGTTGATTCGTGTACGAGGACGTACATTAGGCAAAGGAGTGCAAAAAAAGAATAGCTAGGAAAAAAGGAGAGAAATTACATGTGTATGTCAATCGTGTGTTGAACGCAATCACATGAGGGAATGCAACCCCAACGACAAATGAGTTGAGATTGCAAATTAGACGGTTGTGCCCTCTTCAGAGCCTGAAGTCATGGAGAAAAATCGATCAAAGTACCAAAAATGCGGTCATCCAAGCGATGCTAGTATGAGATTCATCTTGCTTAAATTATTATGTTATTTGTAATTGCTTAAATTAATTGATGTACTAATTGTCTTATTAAGTTTGTAGGACAAGTTTGTTATCGGCGATGATTTTGATAATGATGAACAAGCTCAACAAATCCTCGATAGAAAGGCAAATTTGCTATACAAGGATTGGAGGTACAATCTAAAGCAAGAGTTCCTCGAACTTGAGGAAAAGGGTGTTGATGACCCCTATAGTCATCCGCCTAGTGGAGTGAGCTTGGACGACTGGAAATATCTTATTGATGTTGCTTGGAGAGACGAATCTCACTTGGTAACTGAAAATCCTACATGATTTGTGATTAGATCAAGATTAACATATTCCAAAACCCAATTAATTCAAAACCTCTCAACCTAAAATCATCAAACACTTACGAGAGTGATTTTAGTTTGTTTGTTTTTTGAGAAAAAACAATAAATCGACACAAACAATTTTTTACGTGGAAAAAACCACAATTGAAGAACCTTCAATTGTAATCAAAAACCACGGGCGAAACGCCACTATCAATCCACTACTGAAGAACAAAAAGATTACAAAGATACAATACAAATTACCCAACCCAGTCAATTTGTCTCTGAATCTTCTGTAACTCTTTTCACCACACCTTCGTCACGGAATTGATCCTGAAGTTGATTCCACACCACAACTCCACTTGTCGAATTAACGACTGCGTAGAATCAAACGCCTTTTGAATTCTATGCTTTAATCTTCGGAATCCACCGAAGAGAACTTTCTTGTACCTTAAGAAGCAACCTCCTTGATGTATGAATCTCAATGCATAAGTTCAGAACTCTCTCAAGAACATCAAGGAAAACTATCAAAAATCTTCAAAGAAAACGTTAAACACAACCCTAGTTTGTTTAGATCAGATCTAGGAAAACGTACATCACAAAACTCATTTTACGTTCGTGAGAAACGTTCAATCTGTACACATTCATTCAGGAGCTTAAACTGTTGTAAGGGGTTTCCGCATGAAGTGAACAAAGTTCTCTACTGGACCACTGACAGTGTTTACTTGTACTTTTACGGCAGAAATCTGACTCTCAATACTAGATACATCATTTGTGAGGTTGAATGGTTAAGTCTCATTAACCATCTACGCGCTTGTTCCATTACCATGGTTCTCCTCAGTACAATGGATATCCTAATATCGTCCGGTCAATTGAGGACACAAGGCTACCTTCAGACGTTGCCACCAAACTAGTGCCAGTTTATCTTTGACTTCATTTTCTCTGGTTGGAATCCATACTCTTGAGCGTGCGATTTCTGCCATCCAGTGAGTGCACACCTAAAATAAAACAAATATAAAAAACAAAAAAAAAAAAAAAATTTCTTTCTGTATGGGGGAGCTTCTCTCGCATTTACTTAACAAATACCTTGTTTGGACCCCCGTGATTCCTAGAGAGTTTGGACATTTTTCTTCCTGTGAATAGTTAGTCTAACTCTACATCTCGATATTGCTACGGAGGTCAGCCATCCGATCACTACTAGGATTAATTCTAAGCTTTGTGGTCTGAATTAAGGATTGCACACACACAAACCCTTTGTAATTAATTTCCTGTACGATTCTATGAACTTTGCTGAAAATTGAAAAAGCAATCGTAGTGATAGTCCAAGATTTACCATGCGGGTCTGCTGTCCATTTTTACATGAGCTCTCATGTGTTGTTTTTGGAGTTTTGCATTCTCAATGATGCGTATGGGCTTTGATTTTAATACTATCTGTGTTGTTCATCCCAGGAGATGGTGTTTCATCTCTTTTCTCAAAATTTGCAGGCCTCATCATTTGGATGGATTTCTTGTCTTGTGGTTTAACTCACTTGCCTCTCCTTTCTTGTTAAGCAGGACTTTCTAGGTGTGTTTTGTTATTTAAAAAAAAAAAAAAAATAAATTAACAAAAAGCGGGTTATTATTCCTGCTCCGAACAGCTGAATGTTTTACGGCTCGAGCGGTTTTTCACTCTTGCACTCTTGAACAGTCAAGAGTATGTGTTCCTTAGCAGTTCTCAGCTTCTCTTTTGGGTCAGGTTTGAGAGATGGTTTTTTTAGCTTGAGCGGTCCCCTACTTGCACGCTCGTTTCATAGAGTCTATGAGTATTTTTTTGCGGATGAGGTCCTTGTCCTATGCTTTCGTTATGTACGCTCGAGCTCAATTCGTACGCTCGAGCGGCCAGTTTCAGTAACTTAAACTCATCTCTACTCCATAAAGAATACTCTTTCGATGTCACATTTTTTTTTTCATTTTTTTTTTCACTATTTTCTCTCTATGGTAGGTGTTATGAGCACTTAGGGGATTTGCTACTAGTGGCTTAGCATCTTGGGTCGTTTTTTCCAATGATTCAAGTTGGGACCTTTACCCTCTCCTCCTCTTTCCTGACTGCCGATTCGCTCTTGGGTAAGTTTTTTTCCTCTTTTTTTTTTTTCGTGATTTTTGTTCTATTTGGTACTCGTGGGTGTTGGGTTTGTGTTTTGTGCGGGAGTTTTGTGTAGTAGTTTGTTTCTTTTCTCTCTCTCTCCACCCCTTTTCCTCGTCTTTTCTGTCTGTTTTTAGTACTGGTGTTATTTCTTTCTTGCTGTTACTGTGGTATCGGGTTTACATTTCGTGACTTTCACGTTGTTTTATCTCTGTCATATCCATGGGATGCTCTCGCTTGTCTTTTGCAATTGCCCATTGCCAGATTTCATGTCTGTTTCAGTTTATAGGATTTGTGTCTATTCTGAACTAATTGTTCTGGCTTTGTTTATTGTTGTTGATAGATGTGTTTGGCTTTATGTGGTTAGTTTGGTTTGTTTTGGGTGTTATTAGGAAGTGATCGCTTCCCTCTTTCGTCATTGTCTTGCTCCTGCGCTAAACGCCGGAAAGGCCCCTAGGTAGAAGATTCTCATCAGCCCTCAAACATTATACACCTGAATAGAGTATTATTTTAGGGTTCCGATAACCACACAATGGCCCATGTTTCACATTCACAAACTTTTTGTGTCTCGCACAGTTCATTTAGAAACGGTATATGTTCAACAGCTTGATACTTTTTCGAATCCATCCACATCTCGTGACCATCACTCATTGTTCGATCTGATGGACCATACTAATGGTGGGAGTGACTCAATTGTATTCTCACTATTGTATTATCAGGTCTTGCGTCAGAGGTACTATCCTCGATTGGGTTCGTCGAGTTTTTTATATCAGATAATATGCGAAGGAGGTATATATTCGTCGTGATGAATAGCCATCTTTCACTACAGCTGGAGTTCGTTCAAGACAATCTACATTTCCGTACCCCTGCTTTGGATTCGCCAACTTCCTTCAGATTGAGCAAGTTTTTCCCCAATACTATCTTTCCCTGTCCTGATCGTTCCTATAGTATAACCTACTCTAGTGAGCTTTGAATGGTGTTGTGGCCATTTGGAACTTGTGTGGGTGTTGCCCGTTCATTGGCTCTAAAAATTACACAGGACGGTTTGATTAAACGTTTGAACTTCTTAACCGGAGTTCAAGACTTGTTATATATCTGATGTGTATGTGCCTAACTTTAATTTAATTTTGTTTTCAACTTAATCATTTCTATCTTTTGCTCTCTCCGAGGTGTTCAAACCTCTAGAAGACCAAGGATCTCTACTTTTGTCCTGTATTGCCCGTTTTCACCGGCTTCTAACATTGATCTCGAGCCGCTCTTATATTATCAAATCAAGATGATTAGTAGTGCTGCATGGGCATGAAAAAAACTTGGCGCTTATCCTCTAGGACTTCGGTTGTCAGTGCTTGTTGGCGATTCAAGCCGACAGATTATTTGTCGGATCCTTTTTTAGGGGACTCCCTATGCCTTATGGAAGAATATGAATGAGTTTTAAGCGCTCTCACTTGCTCCTGGCAGTACCTTTCAACACATTACACACTAAGTGTAAGATCTCTGTGTTCTCCACAAGATCGTCGCCATTGATCACATAGCTTGGGAGTTATGTCAATCCCACGGGTTGGTCTTCTGGTCAGGCTGAGGTTTTGACGTTGGGTCATAGAATTATCTCTCATCAACAGCTTTAGAGTAAATGTAGTATCTCGGTCTGCTTGGGCTTGTGAAGAGGACACCGATGAGGTTTGTGATTCGTTCCTGAGCTGGCATGAGCACTGTTCTTGATCGATGGGTGATTTCTGTAATGGTAAGTGAGGGTCTATCCGTTCATAACCTAGAGCTCATTTATCCTTGATCAACTTCAGGTCATCTGTTCGAAGGAGGGCCTTATGACCCTTGTGGAGGTTAAGAACTTTCTTCGATGCTCTCCGTTTTGACGCCTTTTGATGGTCGTTCTTGGTCAGCTGTGGCGCAGACTGCCGTTCACACTACTTCGGCAGCTGGACCACTCATTTCCTTACTGACGCTTCAGCCCGGCCCGTCTTCCACCTGGTGCTTGATTTCTTGCTTTCTTCTTCCGCGGCCAAAAAAGGGGGAGTGATGTTGCTGGTCTTTTATTACACAGCTGTTTCTGATCTCCATTTTTGGTGCTTTTGATACAGTTATTGTCTCTGGTTATCCTTCCTTGGTACAGTTGGATTTATTATAGTTTTTTTCTTTTTTCTGGTTTTCTGGTTATACTATGGATATATGTTTATGGACGGATGGATACTGGTTGCTTATGCTTGCTTATGGCTTAATTTAATCAGTCTTCACCTGTTTCTTGGTTGGTTTGTGTTTGGGTGTGCTTTTTCAGGTCATGGACACGCGCGCCTAAGTGGATGAAGTGACATTGAATGAAGTCTTTTTCTAGCGCGTGTGTTTGACATGGTTGTAAGAAGATTGTTTAGTTTATTTGTTTTAGAACTGTTTTTAGTCGCGACATTGTGTAAGGAATAATGTTTAGAATGGTTTGTTTGGGAATTGACAAAGGGGGAGATTGTTTAGGTCCCTATGTTGTCAAATCCAGGAGACAAAACCTTGTGCTGATTCAAAAAGTTTATTTTTTGTGTTTTTACTGTCCGCCTCGAGGGGAGACTTTGGGCTCGAGCGTGGATTAGCATGTCTATGTATTTTGACAGGGCAAGCACACAACTGTCGGGTTGATTTACGCTCGAGCGGATTACATAGCGCTCGAGCGCATCTCAGCTTATTCACACGCTGTTTTTGGTGTCAGTCGCTCGAGCGGGTTGGTGAGCTCGAGTGGAGATGCGCGGGAATCCAGATCCTATTTAAAGCTGTTAAGGGTGTT